AGCCCCAGGCATTGTGCAGCCAGCACTATACCCAAGGCATACACAGGAAGCCTGGTAAACGGAAGGTCCAAGGAAGAATTGGAGATCCTGGTAGGAGAGAAGTGCAGTAGGGGCAGCAGATGGGAGAACGTCAAGAAAGGCGGCATATCGGACTTCCCTAGTGGCGCAGTGGTTGAGAGTCCGCCTGCTGATGCAGGGAACACGGGTTCGTGCCCCGGTCTGGGAAGATCCCACATGCCGTGGAGCGGCTGGGCCCGTGAGCCATGGCCGCTGAGCCAGCGCGTCTGGACCCTGTGCTCCGCAACGGGAGAGGCCACAACAGTGAGGCCCGCGTACCAAAAAAAAAAAAAAAAAAAAAAGGCGGTATTTCTAAGTGCTAAAGGGAAAAAGGAAGGAGGAGGTTGTGTGGAGTCTTGCTGGGGAGGATGGATTCTTGCTCAGTGTTTTGACGTGGAGAGAACTAATCAGTGAAGTGTTTTTTATTTTTATTTTAAAATGCTGGGCTGGGCTGGGCGAGGGCTTCCTCTCGCTCCCCGCCACGCGCGGAGTGTGAAGTGTTTATTAGAACCCAGTTTATCTTTCATCCTCTAGAGCCTACAGGATTGGATAGTTCAGAATTAGTTAAGTAATTTTCTCTCTGCTACTGAGACGCGATCGCATTGACAGTAAGAGAATAGTTGTTTTCCAAGCCCCGCTGTGCACAGAAGAAACTGTGGGATTAGGCGAGGTAGTGTGGAATCGTCTCTTGGTTTCATCTTTAACTAGGTGGGTGATTTGACTAGGTGGTGATCTGTGACTAGGTGGGTGATCACGTTCCTTCTCATGCCTTGTCTCCTAAAGATATGAAGATTAAATGAAAAGCTCTTGGAAGACTGCACAGCACACAGCAGCACTCCATAAACGGTGCTAATTGGTAATAGATATTCAAAGATGCTATGAATTTTGAAAATACTTCATATGATACAATGTCATTATACATTTGTCCAAAGCCACAGAATGTGCTACACCAAGAATGAATCTTAATGTAAACAGTGGACTCCAGGTGACAATGATGTGCCCATGTAGGTTCATGGATTGTAACAAATGTCCCACTCCGGTACAGGATGTGGACAGTGGTGGAGGTTGGTGTGCTGCAGGGGCCATAAGGGAACTCTCTACTTTCTGCTCAATTTTGCTGTGAACCTAAACCTGCTCTAAAAAGTAAAGTTTATTAATAAAAATGTAAAAAAAAGATGCCATGTATTTTTATCAATTATTGAAAAAATGTTATACAGTTGCGTAGCACTGTTCAGGTTTCAGAAGAACCCTTGAGCACATCATCTCATTGGAGCCTCACTACTTTGAGCCACACAGAGGAGCGCTGGCATGGCTATTTTATAAATGATGCTTAAACTCAAGCCCTTTAGTATAGTGCCTTAGACACTATTTAAAAAATCCAGTCCTGAATTTTCTGATTGAGGATCCTGTGTATGACTAATAGCTTTCTTTCCTCTATTTAATACACACTACTCAGTTTTTAACTTGTTGGCTGTTTTGCATGTATGTGCTCAGCCACATAATCTGCTTGTCAGTGGATCAGGCATACCTAATGTTACTTGAAAATGGTGCAGATCCCTCAAAGAAACTGGCATGTTAGAAGAAAGTGTCTTCATGACTATATAAAAAATGTGTGCTCCTTTATCTCAGAGCAGCAGCTGTTGTGTGGTGTTGAAGTTAGGCGGGTGTGGAGACTGTTGAAGTGGTCCCAAGCTGTAACCACTTCTAGATTTCCACTAATAGGTTAAAAACTTACAATAGGGAAATGTTCAACACTGCACTTCAGGATTTAATTTCAGGGTTCTAGACATTTAAAAAAGTGTTTTCTCAGTAAGACCGCACTTGATCCTCACTACTGTGCAAGGGCAGGTATGGTTTCCATTTTACAGGCAAGGAAAATGAACTGCTAAAAGGTCAGAGGGATTTGCCACACTCTCAGCTGGAATAATGGCAGAGCCAGAATCTAATTAAGCCTAGAATTCCACTCAGTGGAAAGTGTGCTAAATTCTTGACTGCTGCTGTCCAAACAAGACTGCTTTCAAAGAAAAAGAAGTACCGAGCACATCTTTGCAATTTTAGGGAGGTTTGTTAAATTCTGTTTGCTTTTCAACATTTTTTTTGCCGTAATACTGAACCCTACTGACTTATCTACCCAGGATTTTTTCCACTAGGGTTATATATATATATACACACACATATATTTGAATAAACTGAAGTTATCTGAGAACATTTAATAACATCTCTAAGTGTGCACATTCCTGCTACTGTACACACTGAGCAAGAGATTAAAAAGTGTAGATTGGGTGTATAAAAAATGGATTTCATATTTTTGTTCTTGAGAGAAAGAGGAAGGGAGAACCCTGGTGGTGGGGCATTTTTGCAGCTTGTAAGAGACAGACCAGCTGCATCTGCAAGATAGCCACACCCTGGAAACTGGACTCAGCATGGAGCAGATGTTCCTGTCCCCCAGCTGGGGTGCTGAGAAGGGGCTGTGACCAGCATCCAAGTAAAGGGAGTAAAGAGAACCAAGGGCAATACATTATCCAGGTCTGCTGGCAAATACTAGTCACTGTCCCACTGATTCAGTGTGACGAACTGAAAATCAAAAAGCTATCAAATACATTAGGCAGAATCTACTTTAGAAATCAGAATAAAATGTAGGAAACTTTCAACATTCTTCAAAGTATATATGAAAATATGGTTTCTATGAAAAGGAAGATAATAAGAACAAACTAAAAGAATGAGAGGAAAAGGAAGGTGGTGGGTTAGGTAAGTTCAAGAAAGTTACAAGTGCAATAACAAACCTCATGTTAGAGCAAACAGCAGGATGACACTAAAAATCAAGCCAGTCACGTGGAGGTTAAACTTGACAAGCTTTCCTAACCGGAAAGGAAAGAGATGATAGGGAGAGGCATTTGAGAATAGACAAAAGTATTTTTGAGAACTAAAATTATGAATATAGATATTCTCTCAAGTTAAAAAGAAAAAACCTTAGGTGGGGAGAGACATTGGATTCACTTTTGTTTCAGACAAATGTCACTGATACAAAAGTTACAGGGAGAAATAAACACAGAAGCATCCAAGCAGAAAAATAAAACCTATAAGGGAACAAAAATCAGGTTGGCCCCAATCTCGTTACTATGCCAGAAGACAACAGAATGCCATCAACAGTCTTTCCAAAGAAAGTGACAAGAATTACGTGTCCAGTCAACTTTTACGTGCGAAGGCAAGAGAAGAAAAGAGGAGCAGCGGAGGAAAGTCAGGTAGAGCAGTTTTAGCCCAGGGTGCTTAATTCACTTGTTAATTCATGAGTTTCTGTTCATTCAAAACTGAGTAAGGAATAATGCCTAATTCTTTCTACCACAACTTCCCTACTCTAAAGTTCATTTTTTTTTTTCTTTTTTTCGCTGCCCCGCGTGGCTTGCAGTATCTCAGTTCCCTGGCCAGGGACTGAACCTGGGCTACAGCAGTGAAAGCCCCGAATCCTAACCACTAAGCCAAAGGGAACTCCCCTCTAAAGTTAATTTTGATATGGTTCTTTTTTAGCTGGAAAATGTCTCCAAGTAATTTGTTTAAAAGAAGGGCACACAAGGTGTGCTACTTTCTGAGCCCTCTTCTACCTGGGAACGTTTGCCCAGCAAGCACCCCCTGCAGCCCTTCCTATGCATTCACCCCCCATAAATCTGTGCCTCTTACTGGCACACTCTCAGGACTTGGCAGGCGTCGGGTGTCAATAAACACCAGATCGAATGAGCACATGTAAAGGGAACACGGGATAAAGAGGAGCAGATCTGTACTGCCCTTCATCCTTGACCTAGTTTCCTCAGAAAATGTAGGACTCTCAGTGGAAAGTAATATGGATAAAGTTACAGGTTGAAAATGTGATTTTATTTCAAAATGATAAATAAACCGAGGCATAGTTTAGACCATGTACTACTTCTGAAGGGCTTGTGAATTAGAGAAACAGTTCCAGGAGGGCTCCAGTCAGACCAATCAAACTCATGATTGGCAGAGATAGCCTCTTTAATAATCAGGGATTTTAAAAGTCCTCCACCCTAATTTCTGAATATCATAAAAAGTAAAAATTACTTTTGTCATTTTTCCTTTGAAAATGTTTTTAGCAGCAAACAGGACTCTTTTGTTTTCCTTACTTCATTTTTATGACCATAGTAGTTATATGTCAACTTACTTAAAATTAGAGAGGGAAGAAAACTAAAAGCCCCTCAGTGGCACTGCTCATCCACGGAAGGCTCACATAAATAGGTACTCATGTTCACGTTATCACTTCTTCTACAAATATCAATAAAGTAAGGTTTGTAAATCGTAAATACAGTAGTGGCAGTTCACACATATTTGACACGCTTTCACACAAGGATTCAGTCAACAACAATAAATATAATTTCCCCTCTTCAAAACAAACAAACAAAAAGGATTTATAAGGGAAAAAAAGGATTAATTTACTTGGAGTTCATCAGCACACCAATTTTAGTGTGCTTTGAAAGAATTAAAAAGCATGAAATTGTATTCCTGAATACTGGCCCATAATTACATTTTTTTTTTAAACCTGTCTTCAATACATACATCATGGCTTTCTATTAAAATCCTTAAATCTACAGGGATTTGTAGTAGGTAAGACTATATAAAAATTTTTTTTCCTCATTAACAATTTCATTAAGTTAAAAAAAAAAATCGGACATTTCCCTTAAATGTTAAGTTGAAGCCTGATCTATGCTGCTGTGTCCTGTGAAATGAACCTAATTTTCAAAGTGAATAGGAACGCCTGAGTGGCCATTTAGAGTGCGGCATTTTCCTTCCCTCATGATTCCTGCTGGGTCCTCTTCGCTGAGGCTTTTCCCTGAGTCATATATTTACTGGAAAGGCTACCTAGAGGAGGGGAAAAAACAAAACCCAACATAAATGAAACAAGCCTCACTTTATCGTAAACGCCATACAATTACTTCTTATTGTTAATTATTCACAGAAACTTTTCATACTGGTCACTTGTTTTGAATCAAGTAATTTGGCTAGATATATTGTAAAAAGGTATATATAGAACATTATCTATTAAACATAAGCCTCGTCACATTCTTTCTAAATGCAGACGAGTTGCTAGAGTGACGTCATTTTAATACATTTGCATGCTCACTATTTACATATTGGTACAGAAGGCCAGGTGAACTTTTAAAGGCTCTGCTCTGCATCTGCAACCAAACAGAATAGATTGCAAAGAATACTTTGGTCAGAAATATATATCTTGGGTCATTACTCTGACGACACGAAGCTGTGAATGGTGATATTGTAGCCATAAGTCATTGATTTAAAAGAAAAAAAGGAAATTTATTATATTTACAGGTGAAGGACAGAAATAAAGACTGCTAATTAAATGCATACCACAGAACAGTTAATAAGTTCTGTTCTGGAGTCTAAACAAATCGATCAACGAAGCAAGAAAACTGAGAAATTCTTAAGTGATTACTTGTAAGAAAGTAGTATATAACAAAGGTTATACACATTGATTATATACATTTCAAATCAATGGGGGAAAGTATGGATTGTTCAATAACTGGTATTGTGTCAAATAAGTAATTTTGGAAGAAAAGGGTTAGAGAAGTTTCCTCCCTCACATCATACTTTTCCTCCCCACCTAATTCCAAATGAATTATAGAATTAAATATAAGAGAGTCAAAGTATAAGAAGTAGTGGCTATTTATACAATCTTGGGGTGGGGAAACAGTTTCCTAAGTACATCACATTATATTTTATTTATGAAAAAGGCTTTCTGTGCTTAGTACTAAAGAAGTTACAAATCAATAGAGAAAAGATGAACACCAATAGATAGCTGGTGAAAGAAAAAGCAATATATGAAAGAGAAAAAGACAGCACAAAAAAATATTCAATATCAATGGGTAATCAAAGAAATGCAAACAAGATACCAATTCCTAACCACCAAATTGTTTGAAGGAAAAGCAGAAGGACAGGGAAGTGGGTAGAAATTTTGGTAAAGGAATATTCATACAAACCTTACAATAACTTAAGTATGCAAACAACTCAAATGTCCAGAACTTGTGATATGACTAAGTATATCATGAACAAAATAGGATTATTAGGTATGCAGAGGATAATTAATAACATGAAAAAAGCAGTTTATAAAACCACATGAATAATATTTCCATTAAAACTAAAAATTAAAAAAGGAAAAACCCTACCAATCAGCTATTTGGCGCTTCATTTTCCTTATCTGTAAAATAAGGGCAATAACACCTACCCCCTTGGAGTTATTGTGACGATTAAATTAATTAATACATGTAAAGCAACTGAAACTGGCACATAGAAAGTACTCAATAAATGCTAACTATTATCATTACACTGATGTAAAAAGCTGGGAAGATTTTACCTCCAAAACCTAAACAATAGTTAATGCTCTAGAACGGGACAAGTATAAATGGCTTTTATTTTCATTTTGCTTAAACTATACTTTCTAAAATGTCCAAAGCCAAAATATTAAGTATGCAAATATAAACTTATGCCCCCCAAAAGCAAACTTTTCGAAGCAGGACATCTAGATAGTCAACTCACAGTGAAAAATGAGTGCTATGTCAGGAAGATTCAAAGTACTCTGCTTGTGTATAAATACCATATTTATACCACGGAGTGTCTACTGGTCAAAAATACACATCTTTGATATTCTGAACTGCACAAAGTATTGAGGACAGGCTTTTCACTTGAAGGACAAAAATTTAGATCACTGCACCTCATATTCTACACACACTTCGGATGGATTAAAGATCTAAATAGGAAAAATAAGGTTTTAAAGCTAATAGAAAAAAATACAGTTGTATATCTTTATAACCTCAGGCTAGGGAAGAATTTCTGAAAGATAACCCTAAAATCATGAATCACATGTCCATGAAAACTAATCAGGGAAAACCAATCATCTGATTATCTCAAAATTAAAAACTGAAGTGGCAATAGATACAAGGTGAAAGACAAGACATACTGGAGGAAGATATTAAGGAAGTATATAATAATAAATGCTCAGTATTCAGAATGAAGAACGCTTGTAAATTATTAAGGAAATGATAATGCAACAGGAAAACGGGCAAATGATCTGAACAGACCATTTATAGAAGAGGAACTCCAACTGGCCAGTTAACATAGAAAAAGGTGCTTAGCATCACCAGAGTCAAAAAAATACCCATTAGAACAACACCAAAGTATTTCTCACTCATCAGATTTGTAAGAATAAAAACTGCTGATGGGAGTGATAATTGTTTCAACCAATGAGAGGGTATACGACAATATCTAACTAAACTGAAAAGGCACATATGCACATATGAAAATGCGCTATGACCCAACAATTTGACTTCTAGGTACTCAAACCCTATAGAATCTCTAAAACATGCTCAAGAAGACTCACACAAGAATGATCATTACAACACTGTTTATAATAGGAAAAAATCAGAGGTAATCTAAATGTTCACGTACTAGGTAATGGCTACATAAAATATTCTGTATTTGTATGATGCAATACTGTAAAGAAAGAGGCTAAATCTATATACAACAACATATATAAATTTCAAAGTAATTTCGTTAAATAGATATAAAAAAGCAGGTTGTAGAACATTCTTATTATACAGTGTGATATGTCATTTAAATTTAAATATTCACCAAGGATATGTATATTAAAGGATACATAAGTAAGGGCTTAAAAAGAACTGGTACCTGAAGTCATAATAATGGATCCTCTGGGATGGAGGGGGACATGACAGACAGAATGGGCCTGAGGTAGTCACCATCTTAACCTTTTATTAACAAATGATTGAAAAGAAAATGTGAAAAAATAACGCCAATTCTCTAATAGATGGGTAGTTGTTATATTATCTGTACCTTTAAAAAAATTTTTCCCCAAAATGTTAAGAAACCATTCTTTTCTAAGAATAGTACTTATAGTTTTATTACTGCATCACTTAAACATGTAGTCCTATATATATATATATATATATATATATATATACACACACAAAATCTCATCATACCTGAAGAAACTTCATATAAAAAATTCACATGTAAAAAGATAAAACTATGGGACTTCCCTGGCAGTCCAGTGGTTAAGTCTCCACACTTCCAGTGCAGGGGGCACATATTCGATCCCTGGTTGGGAACTAAGAACCCACATACCGCATGGTGCGGCCACAAAAAAAGATAAAACTGCTAGAAATAAAATATGAATTTTTATGTAATCTGGGGGAAGAACATGAAATTCTTAAAATTGTGTAAGCATGACTTGAAACTACCCTAAAGCTGGCTAGATCAAACTACTAAAACAAACAAACAAATGTTATGTATGGCAAAATAAATCATAAATGAGGCTGAAAGAATAATAAACTGGTGGTAGTGGCGAAGCCTACTGTAACTCATTTGACAAAGCATGAATGAATTTCTAAGTAGAAAGAACTAAAGACAAAAATGAATCCTCAACGAAAATACAAAGATATAACATGAAGAAATACAAATGAGAACATGGGAAATGTTAGTGTTTAATGGTAATAGAACTTCAAGCAGACTGGCAAAAAAGGACTACCCTAATGGAGTGAGGGTATGGAAAGTTTGTGAATGACTCTCTGAGATTGTCAACAATCACAACACGGCATTAATTGTATCTCTGTCGAAACATGCATACCTTTAAACCTATTATCCTCCTACATGGGTATTTATCCTGAGGAAATAACTAGACAAACATGCAAATATACATTATAATGTTTAAACAGTGGTCTTCAACCTTGGGTACTTGTATTCCTGAATAGCTTAACAGGACAAGTGCTTAACGTATTCGTTGGGCAATCAGAGAGCTGACCACAGTGCTTCAATTTCTGAGTTCTTTCTGAGAATGCCTTTGTGGCCCAGGCTTTGGGCTGGTTCTCAGGAATCACACCACTTTTTCTTTCCCCTTTCACAAGACAGAGAGGCATACCTTCTAACCATCCACCTCTTAATGTGGTACATTGCCCCAGGGTGAAAAAAAAACTTTGGGAGGCAGGGAGGCACACAGAATGCTGGTATCTGTGATAAAATGTGAATGCCTCTAATAAAAACCCAAATTTTTAGCTTTCATAAAATTACACTGATAGCTGATGACCATCAAAATAATTTCTGATGATGCATTATTATGTGATTTTTGGTCAGTTAATTAAAAAAGGAATGAAAATAACTGAGTGGCACTGTTGTAATACATCTTCCCTTCCCAGACTCCTAAAGGTATTTCTTATTACTTTTAATTTGCTATCATAAAGACTAATGAGTTTTCTCAATGTTTACCAAGTATAAAAACAAAAAGATTAGGAACAGAAATGATTCACTGTTTCAGTCCTGCAGTAAGTAGTACTGATCCAAAGTTGAATGAATGCATGGGGAAAAAAATCCCATCTAAATAAAGGACAGTCATTTTCAGTAAGTAAACATAAAAAGCAATTTTTAATCAAAATTTGTAACATTTGTTTTGGCTAATTATATTATTCTTATAACTATAAAAATAATTTAGAAGAAATGTTTACACTTTGAGATTTAATAAAAAGCTTAAAAATTCAATTTATATAAAAAAATTCAATCTATATAAACACTTCTGTTGCAGATAAGTATGATAGGCTGGTCAATAAAATGCTTGAAATATATATGATTAAAAGGTACCATCTTAAGATAAAATTCCATGGAAGTGAAACAAAAGAATTCAAGGCGGAAAAAAAAAAGATGTAAAATTTCTGCAATAATATTTACATTTCATTTGATACATTTAAGCTTGATTTAAAAGTTTTGTTTTTAAAATGCCAATATTTACAAAAAACCTCCAGAAATTACATGTTTTGCAATTATGATGAAAAATGGAGATATAAACTTAAACACATACAAGGAGATATATTGGTGGTTCAACATTTTGGGGGAGAGTATGCGAGCAAGAAAGTTTTGAAGACACTGACATAACAAATGTTTGAAAAGAGCTAGCTCATTAATAAGGAATGGTTAAATAAATAATGTATATTCATATACTGGAATATCAAGAAGGGTATGAAAAAGAATGATCTATATTCACTGATACTAAGATCTCCCCATATGGTTTCTAAAAAGTGCTTCTATTATTTTGAATTTACTATCATAAAGAGAACTGTGTTTTTGTTTTTAATAAGTAGGCTTTAACATTCTGGTTAAGGAAAAAAGTATACATCATCATGAAGGAGAAAAGATATCCACCAATCTCTTACAGTATCTCCAATTTTTAAGATTTCAAATCCTGGGATTAAAATGGAATAAACGAAGAGACAGAGGTAGTTTCTTTGGAAAAGTAATTTTCTTTGCAAAAACGGTAGAGGATTAAGAAATAGAAAAATGTTAGTTTTCTGAGATTCTCATACTGAACAGTTTATGACTATGGTTCTCCAATCTCCACATACTCCTGTTTTGTTAAAAATTTCCATTATATATTTGTCCTAGAAGTTAGAGAGAAGTACAGCATGGTTGGAGACTTTGCGTTAACCACAGTAATAAGAGTAGTAATAATTTATTGAGTGATGTGTGCCAGATGCTGTGTTAAGGGCTTTACATATATGAAATTAATCCTTACAATTGCCCTGTGAGATATCATCCCCAATTTATCGACAAGGAAACTGAGGCACTGAGAGGTTCGATAACTCGACAGAGGTAATGCAGCTAGTAAATGACTGAGCTGGATTTCAGACTCAAGTAAGTCTGATTTTAACACTCGTATTCTTGATTATTCTTCCAAACTTACTGAATATCTAAGGCACTGTGTTGGCTGTGTGTATGTGCTGGAGGGAGGAAACAATGAAGATCAAGGAAATTCATGGAATTTTCTATCTACTACTATCACATTTGAGAGTTAAGAACTATACGTAGCTTAGTGGAAAGGAATGGAGGGAGGTATCAGGAGAGGAAAAGAGAACTTGGTTGAGTGCTTACTACTGAATGGGTGCTTTAATCTTCTCAGCACCCGATGACACAGATGGTGCTACTGCCAATTTTATAAATGTGACATCTGGAGCTCAGAGCAGCTAATTTCTTCTAAGGTCAATATAACTGATGTGTGAGAGCAGGGGCTGTCCACACCAGCAGGCTCTTGTTAGGAAACTACCCGTGCATCACAGATAAATAAGCCTGTGAAAAGGAAGAGCTTTTTGGAAACTTAATACTACTTACAGTTGAGACATATTTCACATCTATAACAACATAGATAACTTGTATAAATTTACCATGGGTAAATTTGACAGTATTAACAGTTGTCAATAAATTAAACTTGAAGTTTAATTTATTGGAAAGGATAAATTTTAACCACCTATGTTTTCTTTTCTGGTATAAAGTAAACCTATTTATTGTAATAAACTTACTACAGGAAAAAAATAAAGTTTTACAGTTATTCAAAAGATTTATAAATATGTAAGTCTTTTACTCAGAAGAAAATTTATTGAAATCCTAACTTACTGTCAATTGGTAATGCCATTTCTAGGCATATGTCTAATATCTGTATTTCTCCCCCACTTAAAAAATTATACAATTATAAAGTTTTACTCTCAAGATGTGTAAAGCCTTTAGCAGAAGCAATGCCGACAGATGCCCTGCGGGAATATCAACCCCATCAGCACCCCCTGTCAACCTCCGCCCTCGCTGCATGCAGCTACTGTTCTAAGTGCTTTTATGAGGGTTTCTCAACAGCCATACCAGGCAAGTGATAGTAGTGCTATTATCCCCTTGTAACAGATGAGGAAACTGAAGGAAGTGGAGGATAAGATCACAAAGCTAGAAATCACACCATGCGATCTGATGGCAAAGCCGATATTCAGAAACACCTTATCCTTGGCAAAACAAATATCTCAACTAAGCAAGGATCAGTATTTTCTTATGTAAAATGTTCTGGAAATGCCTGTTCAAGGCTGAAGCTTGTAAAAACAACGCTCTTTTGCCTTGCTTACATCTGGTAACCTTGTGATCCTCAAACTCTCAGAGGATCTACGGGAAACAATCCCACAAACTGCAGTGGAGTCTGTTTCCCAAACACTTTCATCTGTTGAAGTAGCTTTCAGAGGCAGCCTGTCAATCTCATCCATCTTTCATGGCTGCTGCCATTGTCAATCAAATCCTCTCACGATAGGCCCCATTCTCTTTTCACACAATTTCATTTTGAGTGTTTTCCCGTAGAACTTTTCTTATTTTTAAGTCCATGCATTCCACTGACAGCAATTACAAGACCTTCCCAGGAAAGAGGTGCTCTCGCCTGTTCTTACAGAGTCTCCTATGTCTTTACCTTTCATGGACACCATATTCCCCTATTGGGTAAGGGTGGCAATTCTCTGAAGATTTCTGTTTCTCTTTGAGTTGTTCTACCTCACTGTGCACACCAACCTCAATACTCAGGCCTTTTAAATTTTGATTGTAAAGAGATTTGATGCCATTTCAAATGTTTTTTCCAATCATTAAAAAAAAAAACCCAACTGTAAAATTAGCATATCATAAAAATAAATGCCTACTTCTATGTAGATCATTTTATATACTAGAGATAAATCATCGTGGTACTGACAGAAACGGAAGTACTTAAATAATTTAATAATTCAATTAATTTTTCTCTTGTTAACATTCAAAGTAGAAACAACCAAATACTCTTTGCCTGGAGCTCTCAGCTTTCCCAGGGTGAGATCACTGTGCCCTGGCTTATTTCAGCCTGGTTTGGTGAAAGCTGGGAAGAGTTCTCTCTACGGTGGGACTCTGGAGGCTGCTGAGGCTCTGAGAGCGCTATCTCTCAGAAATAGCGCTGATGCACCTGATGGTAGCATACCTGATGGTATCTACACCTGATGGTAGATACAGATTAGCCTCTTCACTCTCTGTAAACTAACACAGGCACCTCTCCAATCTAAAAGCAAACATTCTTTGCACATTAGCAATAAGACACAATATGTAAAAGCTGAGCATAAAATATGTGGCTTGTTTTACATTATATATAAAAATGTCAGGTTATATCAATGAAGCTTTAAAATTTCAAAAACTTAACTTTTCTCATCAACTATACAATCAAGTTAAAAAGAGTACACATGCTCTATTTGCTTATAGAATGTTCCTCCTTTAACTCTACTTTATTGAAGATTAGAGAGAAAGAAAGAGAAAGAGAAGGCCTTCACAGCCTCCCATTTCCCCCTCCCTTTTAGCATCTTTCCTTAGGCCTGGGGCCTGGGTGGGGATGGGGCACTAACCCCACCTGGCACTAACCCACAGCTGAAGTTAAGCAGCCTACAGTTCTTCTAGCACTTCTCACCACAACTCTCTACAATCAGGTTTTTCTGCCCTCCACTCCAAAGAAATGGCTCTTTTCAAAGTCACAGTGAGTGACTTCTGTGTTGCCAAATAAAATGCTGAATTCTCAGTCTTTGGTGCACAGACCTATGAGCAGCAATTTGCATGAAGTCAATTCTCCCTCTTTGAGGCACTTTCTCCATTTGGACTCCGGGACCCAACTTGCTGCTTCTCCTTCCCCATGAACCATTTTTCCTGTGTCTCCTTGGTTTATTTTGCCTGAGCCTCTACATGCTTTTTCTCTTTTCTAAGTGATCGCAGCCAGACCCAGGACATAACTACCATCTATTATACATTGAGCATGCTCAAATTTGTATCTGCAGCCTGGATTTTGCTCTAAATGCCAGGCTCCTATATCTACTTGGCTACTCAACATCTCTACCCAATATCTAGCAGGTCTCTTAAAACTTACACGTCTAAAACCGAACTCTATTTCTCCCCATAATCTGTTCTCCCTGACGGTTCCCCGGCACAGGAAATTCAAACTCCATTCTTCTAGCTGCTCAGAGCAAAAATCACAATGTCTGCTCTGATTCTCAAAATCTCATGATCTTCTGTCATGCTTTATCATCTAACCCATCAACAGATCATGTTGGCGCTACCTTTAAAGTCTCCAGAACATTAGCAGTCCTCACTTCCTCCACCCCTTCTACCTACATCTAAGCCGTCCTCCACTCTCCCCTAAACTGTAGCAGGAGCCTCCCTGTTGGTTTGAATTTTCACCCTTGCCTCCTCATAATGAACCTTTTAAAACAATTCAGATAATACCACTCCTTTGCTCAAAACCTTCCAACAGTTGCCCATCTCATGTAGAGATAAAAATCCCATCCCTACCATTGCTGAAGGAGCTGCATGACCCACACTTGTATACCCTTGACTTCCCCTCCAACCAATCCTCCTCACCCTCATCCCACTTAGTGTCACCCACTCAGGACAAAACTGTTCTCAGCTCTGTTGTAAGAGTCTAACTCCAATTTCCTCTTGGCTTGCCTCTTTCTTTCACTTGATTCTCTGCTTAAATGTTACTCTATCAGAGAGGCCTCCTCCCTCCCAACATTCTCTTTCCCTTTTCCTGCTTTATATTTCTTAGCATCTGTCCCACGTGAAATATTTGTCTCTCTTCTGACAAGAATGCAGAGTAAATGAGAGAAGGGGCTTTGCTGATTCACTGCTGTATCTTCAGTGTTTAGGCCCACACCCTGAACTTAGAGGGGGCGGGTGGGTGGGAGGTGTGGCTTAATAAATATTTGTTGAAGGAATGAATAAATGACGCAGCTGAGAGAGAGAGTGTTCAGGTCAATGATTACTTTCTTTCCTTACTTTGGTGCATGGTAAATAATCTCCATGAGAATACACTGCTGACAAGACAGTGGCAATTTCAAAGCAGAAACAAAAAGTATAGAAGAGGAACAAATAACTAGACTATGGTTCCTACTCAAGGATGGTATAAGAATCACCTAGAACATTTAAAAAATACACAGGCCTAAGCCTAGCCCCTGAAGCATCTGATTTAAGAAATGAAGGTTGGGCTTCCCTGGTGGCGCAGTGGTTGAGAGTCCGCCTGCCGATGCAGGGGACACGGGTTCGTGCCCCGGTCCGGGAGGATCCCACATGCCGCGGAGCGGCTGGGCCCGTGAGCCATGGCTGCTGAGCCTGCGCGTCTGGAGCCTGTACTCAGCAACGGGAGAGGCCACAACAGTGAGAGGCCCACGTACCGCAAAAAGGAAAAAAAAAAGAAATGAAGGTGGGGTCAGGGTAGCTGTATTTTTAAAAGTTCCCCAAGTGATTCTGATGTCCAATCCCTGTTAAAACCACTTATTCAAAGGAAGTGCCTCAAAAGGCATGTGGTACACTATGCAGTAAATAAAATAACACACATTTTTTTTTTTTCAAACCCACATACCTGACTGGGGACTCAAAAATATAGATGTTTTTTGTTTCTTTTGGTCTTCATGTAAAAGCACTGCCTAAAAAACGAAATAGACTGGTTTACAAAGTCGAAAGGAACAGCATCCGAAACAGCCTGAAAACTGTAACTAAATCCAAGGAGAGCTGAAATTAGGCATGTGGGTGGCAGAACTTTGCAAGTTAATCAACAAGCAAGACACATCTGCAGGACCCCTTAAAGCACACCCGGTGAGCTGGTGCACAGCAAGCTCATCACAACCTGTGCCTCGGGCAGAGCAGAGGAGCCACGAGGATGGAGACAGGGCCTGGGGCAGCCCAGCACCTCCGAGCACCTGGCACAGAGCTGCTAGCACTCAGTACGTGTTTGCAGGAGAGACAGAGGATGGGAGGGTTTCCTGCTCAGGCCTGAGCTAGGTTTACCTGAACAAATGTGCCAGTTGGTCTCAAAGGGCTAGGTGAAGAAGGGGATCCAAATACACAATCAGATTTAGACAGACCTGAGAAAGAAATCAGCACTTTTTGTTCCTACTTTAAATCCAAAGTAGTAGCCCTGTTTCAAACTTTCACAGAATGATTTTCTGTTGACGTGACAGAAACTCTACTCAGTATACTGTGTGGACAAAATAATAACATATTGGAAGAAATGAGAGGGAGCAACATAATTTTTAGACAGAAAGAAGCTGATTATTTTTAATTGCTCTTGGAGGAAATTCACCATACTCTAGCCCCACTCCTCCCCTTTTTATTTTACTTTTATATTATGACTACTTGATTTAATGTGAAAACACTGCAGTCTGAAGAAACCAAGATTCTAGTGCTTTCCGTAGCTTTGATAATACACCATCCCTGCCCCAGGATATCCCATCTCTCTTTGATTTGCTACTGCCCCCTAGGCAGCCAGAATCACCACTCTAACTACTTTTTTTTTTTTAAATTTTGGTCAGATCTTAGTTCCCCGACCACAGACTGGCCCACAGCAGTGAAAGTGCCCCGAGTCCTAACCACTGGACGGCCAGGGAATTCCCTGCTCTAACTATTTTGAGAGATTCACTAGCAGGCAACTTGAAACTTGCTACTAGCTAGAAAGAAGAGATCATCCAAGCTGCGGGAGGACAGGGGCATTCCTTCACCACTCTTGTACCGAAGAGGAACGCAATGCTCCTGCTCTGAGTAAACACAACACCTGAGTTTTCTGAAGGGTAGCCTACAAAAGGAATTTTGGTGAGACTATATTACATCTTATCTATACCGTTTATAGTTTCCTCATCTGTAAACTGGAGATATCAATAATACCACATTTAATGGGGCTGTGGTGAAAATGAGATGAAATTACCCATCATAAGTGCTCAATGAATGTTAGCTATTGCTTTTAATTTCTTTTAAACATTTTACCTCTTATAATTATAAAAGAAGATCATTTTATTCTGGTATACATCCCTTGTTAGGGCAAAAAAGTTTGAATCTGAATTCCTTAGAAGTAGGACAAGCTGAAGCTGTAACTTTCATAAACATTTAAGTCCTATTTTAAAATCAATAATGAAAACAATTTAAAAATATACTTCTTTTCATATAAAGCTCATTTAAAAAAAATAAGGATAGCTGATCTAAAAAGTTTCTACCTTAAGAAAAAGAGATACTATATTGCTGATATGATATCATAGAATGGAAGAGAGGTATTAGTGTTCCAGGAACAACAAGGACTAGAGTGAGTATTTTAAGGAAATTGTCAGTGCTGACATTTTTTTATGCTGCACATAAACATCATTTACAATCGAGGACAAGAACGAGGTTACCACTTTAATCAAAAACATTATTTCTCAGGGTTTCATTTCCATGCTAATCAAATTTCATCCACTTTCACAGGTTTGTTCTGAGAAAAGAAAGTGAGAGCATATAAACTGCTTTGTAAACCATAATTTATCCCCCCACACACAAAGAACGCTTACTCTTAACAGTCTGTTAAAAAGATGCCCATAACGGACACTTCACCCATTTAATAGAAAAAGTGGATTAAGATCTGACAACTCAAAGGGGCAAGATCTGTGGATGATTTTCAACTATGGACTGATAGTATCAATATATTTTTCCTCATCATAAGAATAATCATGCTCACTGCAGAAAATTATTAAAATGATGAAATGCAAAGACAATCCGCTGCAGGTAGAGGCACCATTAACTGTGTAACCCTTCTACTTCTAGTCCCCTTTCTAGGCCTGTGCGCACATGTATTTAAACAACAATACAAGCGGCTCCTGCATGAACTGTATGGTGTCCTGAGATCACTCCCCCATGGCCCTGCAGCGCTTCCATTTCAAAAGTGCACACACTGAGTAGCAAAGCTCAAGTGGTAGCTTGTTTTCTGGTCACTTAGGTTACATTTTTTAGGTACTGGGGATTACCAGGTCTTCTATTCACTGATAATCTTATCAGAAAAGTCAACCAAATGACTCTGATAAGCCTCTCAAAAAACCAGCAATAAGTGTTCAAGACATAGAGAGGATCAGAAGTAAAGGCAGGAGAGGTGGGTTCACCTTCTTAAAAACAAAATCTTTTCCAGTAAATAGATCTGTTAAAGAAATAAATATAAATAAAATAGTTAAGAACTCTAAAAAAGAGATTTCCCTTGAGATGTGAGTGCAAACATCAAGGTGTGATGGGTGTGCATACCTGAAGAGCCTTTAAACTGTGGGCATTCCTTTTTAATATGCCCTTCTCTTCCACAAATAAAACAACGTTTTTCTCTTAAGTCTTTGTCGTCTTGTCTCTTCCATTTTTCCACTGGTGGCCTGAGAATTTTCTCTCTCCCCAGGTCAACAGCTGCTCTCACTGGCTTGGCTTTCTGAAGTGTGCACTGCATGGGCTTATCTTCTTTTGTTGATACCTCCCTCTCTGTGTACTTGTTTTGAATTTCTTTGTCTTCTTTGCTTCTTTTCTCTTTGTTCTCGGGGTATCTTTGGTTCAGTGTATCTTCCTGATCTCGCCGTCGCCTCACTCTGTAGAAGATATAATATTAGTAGGAAAAATCTGAACAAAAACCTAAATAAATTCCTAAGACCACTTCAGGTTTAGGAGACAACCAGATATAGGCGGCATCAGAGGGAAAAACAAGAATTTAACAATTTAAGTTCATCTTCTCTATTAAGAAGCAACCTCAGGGCTTAAGGGTGTAGTTTTTTTCATTTTCACAAGTACTCCAGTGCTATAAAACCAGTTTTTGCAACTAGTGGAACTCCTTAATATAATACCTACTCTGATACTGATGCAATGAAACTCAAATTATCCTTGGAGTGATTTCTTAAACCTTTCTGGCCCATGAGCATTCTTTACCAGCACTGGAAACTTGAGACATGAAACTTTAGGTTCACAAGGAAACAATGGTTATAAGGAGATTTATGTTCTTAAACTGTCAAAATTATTTCTTCCTTGACCTACATGATCAGTGACTATTATCTGAATAAAAATAAAGTACTAAATAAGAGCCTTGAATTCCAGATGGTGACTTATTCTAAGTGGCAAGTTTTTAAATGAGAATATTATCGTCCAGTTAAAAATACCACCACCACCCCAAAATAAGAATGTGTCCCAAGCAACCTAACCTAACCTAACCTAACCCGCTCTGCCCTCCTGCAATCATTATCGTAAGAAAGCATGGGGCCCAAACTGAGTAGGTCACCATAGCAATTATTAAGTACACCCCAGTTATTGTACACAGAAGTGTAATTGAGATCCTAAAAAAAAAAAAAACCCATTTTACTTTTCATTGACTGAAATGATTCTGAACTCCTCACTGCTGTAAAAGGGAAGAATTTCAGTCTCCTCTTTTGTTCTTATATCCCTGCTGGAGAGTGTGATAACCAGATGATCCAGTGATGACTAGGGCTGTGCCCCAAATCAGGAAAGGTGACGGGGCCTGGAAGACTGTCTCCTGCACGCCCTAGTTAATCCTCGTCATCTGCACTTAAAGCCATGTTTTAAATCACTTCATTTTCATGGTAAAAAAAAGCTCAAATTTATCTGAGAACTGCTGGATTTAATACAAGTTTATTTTGTTACAAGAGAACCTCATTTAAAAACTGGTACAGCAAGAAAACAAAAACAAAACCACCCCTTTTGAATATCTGCTTACCTTCTCCTCATAGGACAGTCCTTCATGAAGTGTCCAATTTTCCCACAAATTCGGCAACATCTATCATTTGGGGCCAGCTCGCCTTCAGTTAGCACATCTGGATCAAAAAAGTACTCCTAGCAGAATATAAATACATAAAAATCTGAACTATTAATATGAGATCCAAACACAAAAACTAACCAATATCAATCAGGAATCCCACTGACATACCAACATCGATATATTAATTTTAATAGTTATTATTATATTGCTTAATTCCAAAATCAAAACCATTAAGAGGTCTAATTCAGGATAGGCTTACCTAAATTCATTTTTGTTTATTACTATTCGTCATGCAGGACACTGTTTAACCATAAAGGTAGCTTGTTCCCTTCCACACTTCTGAACAAAAGCATTACACATCCCTGTGAGTCAGCTTCCTAGGACTTGGGAGAAGCTGAGGCCAGGTACAAAGACTTCATTTTCTCATAAAATGAAAAGGCCAAAACCTAAAAAGAAAGAAGCTATGTGCTGTTGCTTTGTTGTGGCTTCTGAAGGAAAATATCAGAGGAAAGGAAAGACAATGGTCTGGACTCTAGCCTCTTTGCCACCAAAATTAAGGTGGGTACCAGCAGAAGTGGCATCACCTGGGAGCTTGTAGGACATACAGTCTTGGGCCCCACTCCAGACCTCCTGAATCAGAACCTACATTTTAACAAAATCCCCAGGTGATTTGTTTGAACAAGTTTCAAAAGCACTGGTGTAGAAGACCACCACAGCAGTATCTAGCAAAAAATAGATGTAGAGATGTAATCAAATGCTGAACATGCTTATACACCCAATAACTTAAGGTTCACTTAAAAAGTCTTTATTAAGAAAATTAATGCAGGAAAAAAAACCCTTTGTTTTTAACATAAAACTCTCTAGTTCCTAACCCCTTCCCGTTTTCTCTCACTGAAATGAATTTTTATAATGCAGTTTTGTTTTGTTTTTAATGAGTGTGGTTCCATAAAAACCTGATTATTAGGTTATATGAGAACAGACAGATCTTTAGCACAGGCAGCACTGACTCTCTCTTGTCCCATTAAGGGATTTATTACTCTTTGCAAGCAGACTGGAAAAATCTAGACGTCATATGAGGGGGTGGGGGATGTCCTTAGATATGTGCAAACTGGGTTTGCAGAGGCTGGTATGGAGCTGAATGCTTGGTGGAACAGCAGTGCCACCAATGTGTGTTACCGACGAAAAGCAGCAGCAACAAAATTATTAATTTTCCCACCCAAACTCCACTTCCGGCTATCTCTTCCTGTTCTCCTGATAAATGGCTTCAAAACAGGGATGTTTATTAAAAGGTTTTTATCTTGGCTAGACTCACCAAACTTCCAGAGTATTTAGATTACTATTGAAGTAATGTATACAAATTAGCTTAAATGGCTTTTAGAACTGTTTTTTTGTATTTCCAAAACTTACCATTTTTGAGGGGTAGTCCTTTGGAAATCCTTTGACTGGAATACCAAATACTCTTCTCCCATTTATAAATGCTTTCATTATAAAATTTGTCACTAAGGAGAAAAGAGTAAAGGCTCAATTGGAGGGATTAAAAGTAAAAGAGATGGCATTAATATTTATAAATGAAGTAATAACTTACTTTTCCTTGATAATCCAGCTCCAAGATTATGATTCAAATCAAATGGATCTAAGTAAAGAAAATTAATGAAAACATAAAAAGATAATCAAATAGGAAATACCAGTATTCATACATTAAGTGAGGTCTATATAACAAGAAGAAAGTGTTACATACTTTATCATTAATAAAAGTATTAAATGACTGCCTTTTTAATGAGTTTTAAGTCTATAATACAACTAAGTAATATATATATATATATATTCCTAAATATAAGGCAAGTTTTCCCACAAAAGTATCCATCAGAAAAGAGGGTATTGCTTTATATTTGAATCCTTAAAGAGTCCTTCATATTATGAGAAGGTGCTTCATTTTGAACAACAAAATACTGTTTGGAGAAGACGTATTAGTCTGATATTACCTAATCATGCTAGTTTTAGAGGCATATAGAAGTCACAAATATATTTAAAACATTTTAGTACTGAATGCTCCTGCTAATTAACAGCCTTTAAAACATCATTTTAGAAAATAATTTATCATGAAGCTCATAAAACATAAGATAAATGAAAACACACACAGACACACACACCTGTCCCAGTAGCATACCAATGGCTATCTGGATCTCCATTTCCAGTAAAAGCTTTATATAAAGACTCCTGGGACTTCCCTGGTGGTGCAGTGGTTAGGAATCTGCCTGCCAATGCAGGGGACACGGGTTCAATCCCTGGTCCGGGAAGATCCCACATGCTGAGGAGCAACTAAGCCCGTGCACCACAACTACTAAGCCTGTGCTCTACAGCCCGAGAGCCACAACTACTGAAGCCCACGTGCCTATAGCCTATGCTCCGCAATAAGAGAAGCCACTGCAATGAAAAGCCCGTACACCTCAACGAAGAGTAGCCCCCGCTCGCCACAATTAAAGCCTGCATGCGCAACGAAGACCCAATGCAGCCAAAAAAAAGACTCCTGTATGATCTTTTTTTTTAATCAAATGGCTTGTGTTAGAATTTTATTTATTCATTTATTTATTTATTTATTGGCTGTGTTGGGTCTTTGTTGCTGTGCGCAGACTTTCTCTAGTTGTGGCGAGCGGAGGCTACTCTTCGTTTCAGTGCACGGACTTCTCTTTGCGGAGGCTTCTCTTTGTTGCGGAGCATGGGCTCTAGGTGTATGCGCTTCAGTAGCTGTGGCGCATGGGCTTAGTTGCTCCGCGGCATGTGGGATCTTCCCTGACCAGGGCTCAAAACCGTGTCCCCTGCATTGGCAGGTGGATTCTTAACCACTGCGCCACCAGGGAAGTCCCTCCCACATGATCTGAAATGTCTGCATCTCAAATATCTTAGATAGGTATATAAACATGATGTATCTGAAATATTATTTGTTAGATGATCCAAAAAGTGGTAGAAATGATGAAAAAAATGCTGATGTCAAAGATGTATGTGAGATCTGAATAAACTGGTTCATGAAATAAATTCAGGTAAAGCACTATTTCTAAGTCAAAATACTATTTTATATTGGATTTAAAATAAAAATATACAGAATAATTCACAATTTAAACATTATGTATAGATATTTAATTATTTCCAATAAATGTCCAGAAACATATTCAAGAAAGCGAAGGAAAAAATAAACCCAAAACCTTTTTTGGGGATCATCTCATTAAGAAAATGGAGGATGTATATGGTACATACAAAAGGAGTAAAGGGGGCTTCCCTGGTGGCACAGTGGTTGAGAGTCCGCCTGCCGATGCAGGGGACACGGGTTTGTGCCCCGGTCAGGAAGGATCCCACATGCCACGGAGTGGCTGGGCCCGTGAGCCATGGCCGCTGAGCCTGCGCGTCCGGAGCCTGTTCTCCGCAACGGGAGAGGCCACAACAGTGAGAGGCCCGCGTACCGCAAAAAAAAAAGAAAAAAAAAGAGTAACGAAGTAAAAAGAGGCATTCCTTCTGGTTGTCTGTTGTGCTTCTAATGTATAATAACTGGGGTATACCATTTGGGATTTAGACCCACTAAGAGTTTACTGGCGTATAGGACCCTTTACTCAGTATAACCCTGTACTAATAACTGCTATGAGAAGGTTACCTTTCTAGTAGATTTGGTCATGCTTTCTTCTGGTGATTTTTATGTGTGTGCTATGTGGAAGTATTTTTGGTTGTTTGCTTGGTGTAGCAGAGATACTACGATATTAGCTATCATACAGACACTACAAACTACCACCACTGAAATTTCTCAGTTCTAGAATAACTAGTTAAAAGTCTTCCTTCTAATATAGCCTATTACTAATGGCTCATTTGTAAATAATGTAAAGTTAAAAGCAAAAGATAATGAGGCTTCAAAAAATTAAGAAAAAAATATTAATAATTGGCAGACCATAAGAACCCACTCTAATAGCGGAAAGGTTTAAGACAAAGTTCTATGTTTTTGACATATCAGATACCAAAAAGTTAAAACTGTATCTATAACTCATTGTCATCTGAATTTAATTTTACAAATGTTCACAGTATTTTAATACTGTCAATAAGCAGAAGTAATGATAAAAGCATAACCTAAAGTAATACATTATTTAGGTGATATGATTATATTAAAAATAAATTTAAAAAGACCCAAATCAACAAAATATTTAAGCCATTTCTCAATTCATTTTTAAACATTTAAACTCCATTTTGTCTTTAAAATTAAAAATCCCACAAATTTATCATTTGTGGAATGTGTGGAATTCCACATTTATCATATGTGGAATCTAAAAAATAAAACAAACAAATGAATGTAATGAAACAGAAACAGACTCACAGATATAGAGAACAAACTAGTGGTTACCAGTAGGGAAAGGGAAATGGGGAGGGGCGAGATAGGGGTATGGGATTAAGAGACACAAACTACTACATATCAAATAGATAAGCAACAAGAATATACTGTACAGCACAGGGAATATAGCCAATATTTTATAATAACTTTAAATGGAGAATAATCTATAAAAATATCGAATCACTATTTTATACACAGGAAGCTAATATAATATTGTAAAACAAGTACACAACAATAAAAAAAAACCAGTACTGAGCAACCACTGAAAATAATTTGGTGAATATATAAATATATATATAGTTAATAAAAAATCTACAAAGATAGAAACAAAAATCTCCCAAAGTGGAAATAAACAATCAAATATCAATACAAACACAATGGCCCACGGATCTTAGCATTCAAGGAAGGCTTCAGCACAGGCGAAATAAATGGCAAATTTTATATCTAACTACTTATAGGTAAACTTCTCCATCAATAAACAGCAAATAAGGACCTTGAAAACTGACTTTCGGAGGTACTCTTCAAACCCTCACTTAGGAAGGTTTTAAAAGTCCCACTATTTTGAAGCTGGCTTACCTCTATAGCAACCTTATTCTCCAGTACCTGTTAAACACAGGTAAAGGGCTTGTCATGGTGAACAAAGACTTTTGGATTTGTGAGAGACCCCATGGGAGGGCATCAGCCATTTAAAAATAAATCTTTAAGTTGGAAACAGACAAGTCTGCCTGATGTGGACAGTAACGGGATGGCTGCAAGGCGCACCCCGATCAGTGGCTCATGGCTGCTCTGGGAGAGCTCTGCAAGGATGAAGAACACCCTCACAGTTCAATCTCTATATTCTATTCAGTTTTAAGTTTGATTTTATTTGTACCTTCAATAACAATGTATTTTGATGTCCACTGTTTCTTAAAAGTTGTAAGCAGACTTTTTCTCCTGATGCTAATAACATGTTCTTTAAAATCAAATTCCTCTGTGTAGAAACGAAGAAGTCCCAACCATAGCTGCCCAACAGATTCTGTATTTTTTCCATATTCTGGCCAATAGGTGGGCTAGAAATAGAAGGAACAAGAGATATCATGCTCTATAGTAAAGTGTTAATATCAATAGTCATTTGTATCTTAGGGAGTAAATCTGGGTTTATTTTAATTAACTAGAGTTTAAATACATAAAAATATAATTATATAACTTTTCTTTTATATTTTAAAATATCATTTACATGAGTTTATTAATCTCTACCCTATGACTTGGAGACAGAAAGAGCTCAGGGTTTTAAATGCCAAACCTCAGAATGCATGTTTGTGGAAGAATCTGGAAATAAATTTTAAGAGCCTTGGTGACACCTGGTTATTATATCTCTGTAACTGAGAGTCCTTCCAAACTCTCTGTAGGAAACCATAGAGCAAATATTTGTTCATTTGGAATAAATTTCTTGACCATTTGGAATTATTGGGCATTAAAGAAATCCTGGATATAGTCCCTAGAAACTCACCTGGCTTAAAAAAAATGTTTTCAACTTCAAAGGAATCATCTGTATGTGCTATTTTTTTTTTACTGTCATAATATAAATAAATATTACAAGTGATAATATAGTTGTTGACCATCTACACTACAGCATAGGATAGGTAACTTTCAGTCAAGGATGTAAAAATTCTTTACTATTAAAATACGTACCAGTTCATCTATTTGATCAAAAAAATAAATATTCCAGCCATCAACAAATATTTCAGGTTTCTTTTCACCTTTGTATATCTGAAATTAATTTTTAAACTATTAGTATGGATTACAAACTTAATGCATTGATACAAAAACTTGTAGGAAAATAGTAAAAATTTTAACTACAGAACCACAGAATTTTAGAGAAGGAAGAGGGCTCAAAGATCACCCAGCTCTACAGATGAGAAATACAATTTCTTTTACTAATACCTCTTGAAGGACAGGAATGACTGGTGGGTTCCTCTGCTGGAGAAAATATAGCACCATAAGCGTGTATGCATATGACGATAAGCTGCCTCTAGAAGCATCGCCAATATCGCACATCTGGGGGGAAGGAAAAGGAGGAACAAAGGAAAGACCACCAATGTCTTCTGCTACACTTGCATCTATTCTATTGTCACTAAGAGTAAGGTGCTTCTACAGGGCACTAATATAAAAATTACATTTTCAAATGCTAAAATATGCCAACAAAACCAAATAAGACCAACCAAATAAATAAATAAATAAATAAATAAAAATCAAAGCAAAACAAACCCCAACAAAGCTGTGGAACTATCAGCCAGAAGCAATATTAGGTTACCACGTAAAATTTAAGCAACAAAATTTTAGCTTGCTGAGTAGGGCTTCTCAAATAGTTAAAAGAAGCATTTGACATGGCTATGGTTCTTTAAAAATACACACTTATCTTTTCTTTTTCTTTTTTTAATTGAAGTATAGTTGATTTACAATATTATATTAGTTCCAGGTGTACAACATAGTGATACAATATTTTTATAGACTATAGTCCGTTTAAAGTTATAACAAAGTAGGGAATTCCTTGGAGGTCCAATGGTCAGGACTCTGCACTCTCATTGACGAGGGCCTGGGTTCAATCCCTGGTCAGGGAACTAAAATCCCACAAGACGTGCAGTGAGGCCAAAAAAATTTTTGCAAAATAATGGCCATATTCTCTGTGCTGTACAATATATCCTTGTTGCTTATTTACTTTATACATAGTACTTTGTGTCTCTTAATCCCATAATACCCCTATCGCTCCACTTCCTCTTCCCACTGGTAACGACTAGTTTGTTTTCTATATCACTGAGTCTGTTTCTGTTATGGACTTATGTTTTCAACAAGGTTGAAGATGTAATGAAATTTCCTGATAAATCACAAGAGGAAGCATACTCACCTTTGTAAATACTTTCATGGTATAGCACAAATATTTCACTCTGGGATCAATGGCTGAATAAGCAGATAAGAGCCTTGTGTTATGAAGGGCCTGTTAAAAGGGAAATTACACTATAAGTCTACCAGTTAGAAGAAAAAGTTTTAAGATGGAATATTCTGAAAAGGTTTACACTGTAATTCATTTTAGGATGAAGATATTTAGGCTGAAACTAATATTTTTCCCCTGAAGACAAACTTCATTAACTTACTAGATAAGAATTATAAGTGACATCTGATCTCAGGCCTCCTTAGTCTAAACATTCCTAGAAAATACAGGCTATTAAAATAATCAGTTCCATTTAAGTCAATGTAAGATCTGCACCCCCCACTCCCTGCCCATTATTCAAATTAAATGTCCTTATGGGCCAGAGAGGTCCCATAAAGCCCTGAAATAAACCAGGTATGAGACCAAAGACACACACACACACACACACACAAACACACACACACACATACACGCTCCAAAATTAAAACAAAGTTCAAGCCAAACAAAAAGCACTTGCCACTCTGACTTCATTTTAAATGAATACTAATATTAACTCAATTCTATGTTATATCCCCAGCCTCAGAACACTGCCAGGCACTTAGCAAGCACTCATAAATAACTACTGAAGAATGAACTGGATGAAATGAATGGCTTAATTTTACTGAACGATTGTGTAAATTAAGAGATACTTGCTCCCCTTCATCTCCATAAAGAAAAAGTCTAAAGAAAATCTTACCAATGTGTTATACAAACTGATGTCCACTTCCAGACCACTTCTCAAATGGAAGAACTTTACAATTGGCACCTTTGCTGTTGTAATAGGCAAGATGTTTCTCAGCCCTAGGTTGGGAAATAAGATAGTGTCATTAAATACAGCAGCAGGGGATATAAGTTGCTCTTATGTTAATGTGAGTCACTAAGACTAGTCAAAGAATTCTCTGTTATTAACAAACATTGTGGGAAGACTCTTCTGGCAAAGTTTACATTTGTTAAACACATCAATATCTGAAGTACAAGAATGAACAAGGCAGCCACTGCTCTTCAGGAACTCAATGGATCATGTGCATGTGTATAGGGCTGTCAGTCTGATAAACATCACAAAAGAGGAAACTACTACAGAATCTGGACTATGTGGGCCCTACCTATTCTCTCCATATGACTACACGTATAATATGGAGAAAAGCCCATAGGGGTAATCATCAGAATCTTCAAAACAAAAATTACTCATCCTGGAGCTAGAAGCTATGTCAGTAAAAGAAAGGAATCAACTTCAACAGAGAAGTAAATTGCTTGAGCTAGGCTTTGAAAAAGAACAGGCAAAAAAAGAGAAGGCTGATGGGATTTACCAGGCAAGGAAAACTGCACAGGGGAAGGGTAGATGCCTGAAGCAGAACGGCATGTTCAGGGAACTTCCATGGAATCGTTCAGGCTACAGAGTGGACTTGAGGGAAAGAAATAATGAGTAATAGGAGATGTGGTAAAAACTGGGAGGAGTCCAAATAGGGAACATATACATCCTTAGAGGCAAAGAAATGCCAATGCACTGGTGTAAGTTGGGGAGAATCACTGACCACATCTATTTAGACAAGGTCCCTGGCAATGGATAGACTGGAGGCACCCAGAAGAGAGACTAAGTGACCATTATAAAAACTGACCCAGGGCTTCCCTGGTGGCGCAGTGGTTGAGAGTCCGCCTGCCGATGCAGGGGACACGGGTTTGTGCCCCGGTCCGGGAAGATCCCACATGCTGCGGAGCGGCTGGGCCCGTGAGCCATGGCCGCTGAGCCTGCGCGTCCGGAGCCTGTGCTCCGCAACGGGAGAGGCCACAACAGTGAGAGGCCCGCGTACTGCAAAAAAAAACCAAAAAACAAAAAACAAAAAAACTGACCTGGTAGAGAAGCTGTAAGACATGTGTGAGAGCATCCATAACTGGATGGGTTGGGGAAGTAGAAGTAGGGGTGATAAGGAAGAAGGAGGACTGTAACAGTTAAGACCATTTCCTGAGTACCTAGATTCCTTTACAAACATTACCTCCTAAGACCATTCACCCTTACCCAAAAGATGAGGAAACAGAGATCCTGAGAAATGAACGTGCTTAGGAATGTGCAGTTGGTGAACTGTGGAGCTGGGATTCAAATCTAGGTATGACTGAATCTACTGAACCTAGTCTAGGACAGGCTAATTATCACTTCATTCATTTTGGTGATTCCAAGGAAGCCAATGTCAATAAGCAAGAAAGAAGATTCAGAAGGACGAGCCAGTAGTGGTGGCTGTAGCAGAAGGGAGGCAGTAAAGAGAAAGATGAGCTCAGCCTGAGATGTTGGGGTTTGAGCTCCTTCTGAGAGAGTTAAGTGGTGATGGCTAGAGGGCAGAAACCTAGCGGTCTGGAATATAGAAAAAAAAGTACACAGATGAAAGAAATTTCAGCAAAAAAGGTCTGTGTGGGAGATAGAAGTCTAACACACTGATAGGGAGGAGAGGCAAGGAAGCTCGTACTTACTGAACACTTTGTGTTATGTCAGGCCATGTAGTTTAATGTATTGCCTTGCTTAATCTTAAATGCTATTTCTGTTGTTCCTGCTTTATAGATGAGAAACTGAGTGCTCATAATGAAGTTGAGTGACTTTTGGGGTCACACAGCCAGAAAGCAGGGACCCAAGATTTAAAACTAGAGAGTCTGATTCTAGAAGCCCCATTAATTACTTTGCTATACTGGCTCTAAATTAGATATCCTTTTTCTCAATCTCCTTCCCATTCTAGAATTTGACCCTGCTAACCACTTCTAAGCCTGTTCTCTAGGATTTATTCATAGCACATCATCCTGGTTCCTATTTTACCATTCCAATAGCTCTTTTTTCAGTGTCCTTCCCTAATTTCTACACTCAAGAATTAAAGCTTGGTCCTCAACTTCTCTCAAATGATCCATGGAATTCTGTTTTATTCTTGGCTTCTGTCTCTCTTTCTTCCTTCAAGCATTTCAATACAAAACTGTTTCATTTTGTTCTTCAATCCTAACTGACAACTCCATATTTCTAACTGCTTGCTGTACTGTTAACTCTCGGAGATTATAGCTTCATGGCACGCTGGTGTTCTCTGCAAACATTCTCATTTCTCAAATACCCAGACATCAGCCTGAACCCTTATTTCCTACTTGTAGGTTCCAATTATAGGAAATTTCCCTTTGGAATCTCTCATATTCTTTTCCTTTTAGGATCACTGGCATCTGGTTAAGGTCCTTCTGCCCTGTCACTTAGATTATATCTTCCCTAAGAGTATATCAGCTCCCTAAAAAAGTTTAAGTTTTGCTTTTATGGGGTTTGTCCCCTCTGAAGAAAGTTCAGTGGCTTCCAAATATCTACAGACTTTACCTTATCTCCTAATAGTTCCCACTTGAAATTCCTCTCAAAATGTACCAATCTTCTCACTGTCCTAAAAAATATATTACAGTGATTCTCGCACTCACATCCATGCATCTAAAAATGACTTCTCTTCCTATCCTCTTCAAATCATGTTCATCATCACCTGAGATCAGAAAAAGCCCATCTCTTCCATGAACCTCCCCTACCCAACTCTTTTCCCAGAATCTCTCTCTCTTCAGAAGTTATTTAATACTTGCTGTAGTTTCTACAACTCATTTTAATAAATGAATACTACCACACATTGTTACACAGCCTGTGAGATTATCTTATGTTTGAGATCTGAAAGCTGTCAAAGACCTATACAGACTTATTTTTCTACCATCCCTAAGTGCCCAACACAGTGCTGAGCACATAACAGGTACCCAATAAAATACATGGGGAGACTGCTTTCCTAATCATAGTCCTGTAGCTATTATTCCATTTTTGTTCCATGCAATCTGCATTACATTGTAATCTGTATGTAAAAGTCATTTCTAGTCTAAAAATGACCTATTTTTAACATGGTTCATTCTTAGGTATTCTTAGGTATTTAGGGGAAAGGGACGTGATGTTTGCAGCTTAATCTCATATGGTACAGAAAAAAATTGTGAGCAAGCAAGAGATAGAATGATCAATAAAATGTGGTAAAATGTTAACAACTGGTGGATTTGAATGAAGGATAGACAGAGTTCTTTATACAATTTTTGCTGCTTTCCTTTAACTTTGAAATTATTTCAAAATCAAAAGTCAAAACCTAGCTCAGTACTAAATAATAGTCACGGAAGCTTAGCAATTTAGTTTCTTTGCATAATCTTCAAAAATAAAAATAAAAAAGCATATGATCTTTAGAGGTAAAATTCCCAAAATGCTTGTTTCAATGACCAAAAAAATCATATCAAAACATATTAAAAAAATACTGATGCGCTAGGTTTTCATTAGGAGTAAATCAAAATTAAGTTTTTTTCCCCCGTTACTTAAATAACACAGTATCCTCTTTAAACTCCTGGAAATAAAAAATGCAACAGGGACTTCCCTGGTGGCGCAGTGGTTAAGTATCTGCCTGCCAATGCAGGGTACACGGGTTCAAGCCCTGGTCTGGGAAGATCCCAAATGCCGCGGAGCAGCTAAGCCCATGTGCCACAACTACTGAGCCCGCGTGCTGCAACTACTGAAGCCCGCACACCTACAGCCCGTGCTCTGCAACAAGAGAAGCCACCACAATGAGAAGCAGCACGTGCACCGCAACAAAGAGTAGCCCCCGCGTGCAGCTACGAAGACCCAACGCAGCCAAAAATAAATAAAATATAAATAAATTTATTTAAAAAAAGAATGCAACAAAAAGGGGCATTCCGGGTGCATATTTATGTGTATGTATGTATGTATGTGTGCATGCCCACGCTGTGAATTTAGGTCTACTCTTTTTTTTTTTTTTGCGGTACGCGGGCCTCTCACTGTTGTGGCCTCTCCCGTTGCTGAGCACAGGCTCCGGACGCGCAGGCTCAGCGGCCATGGCTCACAGGCCCAGCCGCTCCGCGGCATGTGGGATCTTCCCAGACCGGGGCATGAACCCGTGTCCCCTGCATCGGCAGACGGACTCTCAACCACTGCGCCACCAGGGAAGCCCTAGGTCTACTCTTGACTAAGATATAAGAAAGCTTTCCATGGATGGTGCACGGATTTTAAGTTCCACAAAGGCAACGACAATATCTTGCTCACTTTCATTTTCAACTCTTAGCACAGAAGTTGGATGAACCACAGTTTAAAAGAAGACTCTCACTGTTAACAGCATCCATAGCTGCCTCTGACAAAGAGAGGCAGGAGAATGTGCTAATGGCATTTCAGCTCTGTGCACAATTTACAGAATCTGTACATTTTACAGCTGTAAATACTTGTTCAGGGTCACACACAGCTAAACAGCTGTAAGTACAATCCATCACCCTAGTCCGTGGTGCTTCCCACTATACTTCACATCACTGCGAGCAGCCCCTACACTTTGATTTACACAATGCTGATAAGGCAAAGCGATTCCCAAAATTTCCTGCGTGGTATATACTTTGTCTTGAAATAAAACTGACTGAGGCAAAAACATGCACACACATATTATAACCAATTCCTCAGTTTTTCATACTTAATCACATAAGATTTTTTTAAAGACACCAATACCATAAATGTTATGTGAGCCACTACACTGTTTCGTTGGCATTCATAAATTCTAAGTATGCAAAACACTAATAAAAAAGACAAAAATATTTTTTAGAAAAAGCTTACAGAGGTACCTGAATGTTTTTTGAGGACTCTTGCCAATTCTTCAATAGTTCTTACACAGTCCAACCCCTGCAAGAAAAATGGCACAAACAAACAAACAAAAAGGCACAAACTACTGAATCAGAAATGGAGGACAGGTTCCTAACCTTGTTATAGTTTCCATTTCCTCCAGAAATAACAAAATTAACTTCAAATTATTCTACATACATTTTTCCCTTTTAGGTGAGCGTTAATCCTCATTCATAGGAATATCCTAAGGATGTGGAAACCCTCATTGGGTTGCTCTTGGAGGCACAAGAAAGGCTGAAATCAGTGTCTCCAGAAAAGTCTCTGAACCAGCCAGGATCTCCATATTTCCCTGCTATGTAATTATGTCACTCAGAAGTACTCTCTATGTGACAGAATTAATAAGAGGGAGCTTCTGTGGCCCGTCTTATTCATTCTGGGTAGACCTTCATTATACTTTAATTAAGAGCTGATGAAATGCTGTGGAGAGTAATTAAGCTCAGATTATTTCTCCACAGAACTAGTAAAAAATATAATGCACAAAAAGAAAGTCATACAGGAAATATGAATAATATTTCAAATATTTAAAAACATTTGGGCTGAAACATTAAGTCCTTCTGATGGCTATATACTTCCCAGAATATATTTGGAATTTAATTTAAAAATGCCCTCAAGACTAGTTTATTAATCATGTAAAAATTCAATCCACATTACAGGAAAACCCGAACGAACTTTTTGGCCACCCGATATAATCAGGTCATTCCATATATTGGACCCAATCTTGCTTAGCCACCTATTCACCATAGTCATGCTAGATAACTTTTGACTATTTTCCCAAGTCAGATACATCCTCAAAGGATAAAAACCTGAAACTCAAAAAAGGCATAAAAAGATCCTGAGCAACAGCAGCAATCACTCCTTTGGATATACAGCATTTGGACTGTTACAAATAAAAAATTCAGTACTTCTCAGACTTTACACCTTTTCAAAAGTATTTTACATTTTATAAATGCCTTCATATCCATGAGGGCTGGCAAACCTTTTCTGCTTTGTGGACCATGTGGCCTGTTGCAAGGACTCAACTGGTGAAGTTACAGAGTGAAAGCAGATGTAGACAATACATAAATGAAGGGGTGTGGCTGTATGCCAATAAAAACTGATATTTACAACACAGGCAGTGAGCCATAGTTCCCTGACTCCTGACATACATGATCCAAGCTGATGAGCACAACCATCTCCTGAGGCAAGAGGATCTCACTTCCATATTAGAGATTATCAACCAAAGACCACATGTTTAAGGACTGATGAACCAAGTCTGTCTTGAATTCAGTTTAGCACTCTCCTATCACTGCACCACATTGCCTGCCTACTAAAAAACTTCTCAGAAAACCTCACGTTGGTATATTTATGTACCTGAGTCAGCCTAGCGGCTACGCCACTGGGACACGGGAGAGGCTGGTTTAGCTTTCTAGAATTCCCAGATGTTGCTTTCAAATCTAGTTTGCACTACAAGTTGCAAGCAGAAGCCTTTCTACTCCTCACATTCACTTCTCAACTTCTAAGTTATCTGACCAGATTGTGCCAAATGGCATACTCCATATGATACACCCTGATAAATCTGGAAAATACCATGCTGTATTGTCAGTCAAGATTGTCAAATCATACTCCACAGCAAATGGAAGTTTTACGTGGTCACTGTACCTCAGCAGTTTCAAGTCCATTAATTGTCATACAGACGTCAAGGTCACTCTGTTTGAACCCAAATCCATTTTTGGAGGAGCCAAACAAGCTCAGTTTAGTTCCTGTTAGGGATATATGAAAAGTCATACCTAATTACCTGAGTACATTTAATCTTCTGATCGAAACAACTCTCTCATGAATCAAAAATACCCAGTTGTTAACTGTCCTATAACAATCTCATTATAATTATGTTCTTTTATTAACTAGTCATTTATTATAAATTATTTTCTCTCAAAATTTACTATAAATAAATAAATACAAGTTATAGAAGACATGCAAGATTATCAAATGCCACTTTCTTCTTAAATGCAAGGACATTTCAAGGAAAATGTGGATCATCTCAGAACATTTAATAATGTAAGCTTACTACTTTCTAAATAAATTCACTTTTTACAGGTCTGAATTTTGACTCTAAACCTAATACTAAATGAAGTTCACTTGTGGTATCTGCTAAGCAAAATACTACACTGCGTCTGTCTTTTCTATTGGCAAACTAGGATTGGGAAGACCAAAAGCCACCCTAGGTATATCACAGAACAACTGAAGCCCTGTCCCCCCCATCACTGTAACACTGCTTTCTTAGTCTCAAAATTAATGTTGTTGTAACACATGTACTCATTCTGAAGGAAAGTCACACTATCGTTCTTTACTTAAAGGTAAAAACTTATTTACCTGGAAACTCTTGTCTTATGAAACTTTCTAGGTTTTGCCGAATATGTTCACGTGCCTGATCTTCTAAAATTGTTGGAGAAAAATCCTCTGTTTAAAATAAACAGATACATTCAGAAACAAAGATTGTTCACATTCTCTGAAAAACTATATTTTTAAATAAAATCTAACTGGCTTAAAAAAAAATAAACAAAACTCTAAATTTTGTGTGTCTTCTCAGTAGACAGCATTAAGCAATGTAAAATAAAGACGCCTTTTGAAAGAGTCTATCACCAAGAACTGCTCCTGAGATGTAAAGCAGTCTGAACAAGGGTTCTGCTCCTGGGTTTCAGAGAGACCCAGAGCCCTATGAAGGCAGCCTTCAGGGAACTACACAAACTCCCGCACCCCCGCCCCCGCCAGGGTGAACACAATAGTTTGTGAGCATGTGCATATGTATGTATTTTTTCTAAAGAGAACCAATAGTTTTCTTTCCTCACTTATACTCTCTGAAGAGGTTTAAAAAAGAAATCCCTGATTCAGGATAAGTGTCTTCTGGCACAGACAGACATCTCAAGGTACAGCAATGTGATGGATCTTTCACTCTAAGCAGCTGCCATGCCTCTCCATGTAATGTTTTTCCTTGTAGAGCTTTATACCTCAGTATACCAACACTTCCCCAAACTGGTGTTCCTTAAAGGGCTGTTATAAAGGTTATTAATTAGCATTAATTAAAAAGTACTCTACGCTCAAATTTTGGAAAAGGGTTACATAAGACTAAAGAGTTAAATAAGTTCTTTACCATAGCATTTCTCAGAAGGCTTTATTATGCTAATGTGCCCTAAAAACCTCTACGGGAGGGGGCAGGATATAGAGTTATTCCCTACTTGACCTATGGAATACTCCTTGTGACGAAATACGATTAATGGCAGGCACCTAGAAAAACATTTCAAGGAATACCAGTTAGGAAATGATAGTACTCCAGTCTTAAGACTTAAAAATTCTCCCTCTGTGTCTTTCTTTAACAATTTTTTATTGCATGTCCCAAATGGAACAGGATACACAGAGCACTGTGGATACAATGGAGAATGGAACAGACTTAGCCCCTATAATGAAGCTAACAGGTTAGTGATTCAGATAACTCTTGAGAAAACGCCAATTTAATATTTTGACAAATCAAAAGAAATGTTAATAACTTACTATAACACTGAATGCAAACTTGATCTAAGATATTTGAAAATTTGGGTGTTAATGGTGGCAAAGGTTCCAGCTGGATTCTTTTGAAGTCTTCGGGACAGTCCTTCTTTAGATGACCCTCTCGTTTGCATAAACTGCATACTACTGTAGGAGACTGCAGGAAGATGGCAAAGCAAATAGTAAAAGATTTAAGATAAAACTTTATTTACCAAATAAAGGGGTCTTGAATCTCTTTTCCAAAGTACACATTCTACTTCTCACATTCCAAAGGAATGAAAATATAATGGTGTGGCCACTCCAAAGTATCTGAGATGGGGACACCCTTTTGGTACACGCAGGAGCAAAAGGCAGTTATTTTTACTACCAACAGCATTACTTTTCTCCTCTGCAAATTCCTAAGAGATTAAGGAGGGAAGTGGACCTAGTGGTTGCACTGGAGTGAAAGAGCAACTTGTTAACCACTACCGAGAGGGGAGAGCCCTGTTTTAGTACACAAAAATCGAAAGTACATGCATTAAAACTCTTTCAAGTCTCCTAGTGCCATGTCTAGGAGTGGCACTGATTACCTTGCCTTTGGTGAAGATGAGTTTACTAAATTCATAGAAGAAATCAGACTGATCCGCAGTTGAATTTTCCTCGCATACATTTTCTTCTTTAAGACTGATTTTATTAAGTTCCATTAGTAGATTTCCATCCACCTGGTGTTTTCCACATTCTTTCAAGTCTTCATACTTAGCAGATCCACCTAATTCCTCATCCTCTTCAGACAGGGCATCCTCATCCCCTGATCCAGTGTAGGTGTTGTCTAACTCATCTTCGTTAGCAACATCATCCTCATCTTCCCTTCGGGAAATGGAGAGCCTGGGTTCTTCCTCCTCCTCCTCTTCCTCCTCCTCTTCTTCATCAGAGTGAATGATTCCTGATGTCTGACCCTGTTTTGAAGGGGTAAAATGGCTTAGAGCATCTCCAAGTTCATCTGTACCTTCAATGCTTTCTTCATCAACATCAGCCTTGTCATCTAAAGTAGCAAATTCGTCACACTCTTTAGCTGTAGGATTTTCGAAGCCTTTTAAATGCAAAGTGCCATGAGTCTCGTCACTTCCTGGGCTGCCACAGATGACAAGCTCTCCAGGTTTGCTACTACTTAAAGCTTGATCATCAGCAGTCAAAGGATGCTTGCCCTCCATTCCACATTGTTCTTTCTCATCTTTACTTCCTGTTTCTTGATGATGTACTTTAACATCCTCAGAGTCATCGCAAGTGACCTCTGCCTTGATATAGTCTGAGTTTTCCAGGTGGACACTGATGTGTGTGTTTCCCATTTCCTCTGTTGATGGGCTTTCAAAGCTTTCAGCAGTCTCTTTAAGAGTAAGTGATGGTACCTTGCAGGTGCTCGCAGTTAAACTGGCAGCACCAGGACCTTGAGCCAAAACTGAGGTTTTGAGTTTATCATCTTTTGCTTGTACATCTGGATCACGTTTTGCTACTTCTTTAGAATGTTTGGAAGTACAGGTATCAGTACTCAGAGGCTTTGGAAGGCTGGATTTTGTAATTTTGTGTGGAAGAGCAAAATATTTATACGTTGTCCTTAAACAATGAAGTATATATTCAAACACAGGTTGATTATTTAGGGTCCTTGCCACATTTCTTTTAACAGAGTAGGGATCTGTAATGAAAAAAAAAAATCTGCTACTTCATACACTTCTATTTCATGTTTTAAAAATTAGCCTGCTATAGATAAAGACAACAAGTAAGCAACAGTAAAATTTATCATGTATCATATGCTTTTTAAAAAACTGGGGATGGGGAGTAAGAAGATACAGTTTAAAAACGAAAAGAAATGCTTTCTTAAACATCTGCTCTCTGAAGAGAACCCATTCTGTTCAGAACCAGTACCCCTTCCCTATTCTGTTCTGTGACTGCGGAGGTTAAAAAAAAAAAAAAAAAAAAAAAAGATGTCATCAGTGTGGCTCTTGTGCCCTCGGGAAGCGAGGTCTTCCCGCCAGGCTCTGCTGAGTGCTCAGCCTCCCCACTCAGCCAGGCCCTGCGGTTTGTAGAGCTTACCTCCACTCTTCTGCCCTGGGAAGCCCCATCACTGAACTGGCTGGACTGAATTCAGGGGCGAGAGGGAGGCACCAGGAGGAGACACCACTTCTCTCAATCTTTTCTCCTCCCCTAGAACTCCAGCAGGTTAGGCAATTGGCCAGAAGAGCTGAGCCAGAGAAACTGCAGGGGAGGGTTTAAAAATGTGAGATCCCCATGACTGCACACAGAATTTATGCAAAATGCAAAAAACCCTCTTATGCAATATAAGGCTTGAAAAAAATCAAGCAAAAATAAGAAAATTCCATTTAGGAGGTTCTTTAAATTATCTGAAGGAGGAGAATTAAGATTTCTAGTGGGGTTTCCACCTCCTGACTTTGTAAAGTTGAGATCTCATACATTTAATGAAGTCTACAGGGCACATCAGTATGTCTTTTATACAATGGTTTCAGTTAAATGAACCTTAACTCATTTAAGAGTTTAAGTGTTTTTTTAAGAGAAAAGGTGTTTTCATGAATAAGTTCTAAATGTTATTGCAAATATTCCAAAAATAACTATCCTTTTTCTCTATGGAGAGGAATTCAATAAAGAATGTTATTTTTCACGAGAAAAGGTATTTTCCTCAACCTCTGTAAAACTAAACAACATCAACAACAATCCATGAAAGGAGTGAATCTAAAAATCCAGAAATGAGAACAGCAAAGAGGAAAGTGGGATTTACACATCACTTGGAAAAGACTTTTTAAGCATTTCAAGTTGTTAAAGCAATTTACAAAGAAAATAAGGACACAGCCAGCCATTCTTTTAGTTGCTTAAGTGATTAAGATGTTTTATTGCAGCACTTAAAAAACCCAGGATGAACAATTTGTTCCCTTGGGATGACTCACTGTAACACATGCAAGATTCTAGCTATCTATTTCACTTTTGGGGTCAGGCCTACCTTACATGTAGGAGCTGAAAAAAGACTGAAATAAAAAGCATGCTGTTAGACTGACACCTTAAAAAAAAGGTGGGGTGGGGAAATTAAAGATAAACATTTTGAGGTACCTTCAATGGCAATGCGCTTTTTGGGCCAATCCTTTGATTCACGAGATACCGATTCTTTGACACGGATACTTATCACTAAATCAGCCAAATTAAATTCTAAAGCATAGAATCGAAGCAATTCCACCCAGAGCTGCCCAACCGGTACTGAAGGCTGGTGTTTTAAATCAAATATTAATGATACCTATTAACAGCAAAGAGAAAATATACAGGTTATTTCAGATGTCAGTACAATCTGAAAAATAAGAGATCATTCAAGCATCAAATAAAAAAAATCTGAAAAACCTTAGCAAAGATATGAATTTGACAGCCTATCTAGATAACCACATTCTAGGTTCTATTTCGATTGTGGGAAAACGGCATTCCTTCACTGAATTCCCAGGATTAAAGTATGTTAAAATCTAGTCATTATCATAGGAATAGACAGGCAGTTTTATGTAACCAGGCAGCACTCCTTATTTTGAAGTCTTAAGGGCAGGTGGAGAGAACTGTGCCCTGATTGCTACTACCCTCAGCACTGAGCTCTCCCTGTTCCTGCCTCTGGAGGGTGCCTTTACACAGTTACACACAGAAATGGGCTGCAGCTAGAGGCACAGAGCAAAAGGAAAAACACTCCTCTCACTTGCTCTGAGAAGCTACATTAAGTTCATTGAATCTGCCAGTAGCAACTGATTTTAAAGTCAAATAAATAACTCTTGATATCAGAAATTAATACTAAGTTTTCCACTCACAGACTCATGACAAGTTGGGACATACTGTGATGGAATATAGTGGAAAGTACAAAGGACTTAGAAAAGAAAAAAATGGGTCCAAATACAATTTTGCCACTTCACAGATCTTAACTGCTCTGTGACTTAGCTTCTTCTTTCTTGGATTGGCAGTATAGCACAGAGGCTAAGAGAACTGGCTTTGGAGTGGGACATGCTTAGCTTTCAAATCCAGCTCTGCCATTTACTGGCTGTGTCTGATCCTGGTGAAGGTATACAAGCTGTCTAAGCCTCAGTTTCCTCATCTGAACAATGGGGATCACAGTACCCACCTCATAGGGTTGTTGGGAGGACTGAGTGAGAGAGTGTCTGTTAAGAGCTTAGCACAGTGCCTGGCACACATGTTCAAAAAATGGTCGCTACCATTATCTGCAGAGTAGGGATGATACCACCTATAACACAGGATAGTTATGAGGATTAAATCAGAAAACAAGGGAAAGCATCTGGCAGACTGGTTGCTCTCTGTATTTTTTCATTTAGGTATAGTCTTTTTAAATACAAGAAATCCATATACCATTGAAACAATATCACAACTGTAAGATGCTCTTAAGAGGTAATCTAGTTCAACTCCCATATGCTACAAGAGAAGGAACTGAAGTCCAAAGAGTGACTTGTCAAAGGTCTCAATGCTTGTCAGGAGCAAAGTGAGGACAATGTCTCCTGATCCCAGTCCAGTGTTCTTTCACCACACCATGCAATTTCGACACTGTCGAGGTCTCAATTTCAGAAGTGGCAGCATGATTTATCTCTCCAATTAGCATTCAAATAAAAAGATAAAGTATTTAATTGGACTTTCAGCAATAGCTTTTCCTTCTAGGGTATACAAATTTGTTTCCAATCACACTTTACTATATCAAGCTTCAAAACAAGTGGTATGGTATTTTATTAATGCCACATACTTATTCACTAAATCTTAACCACAAAGGTTCTGTGAAATAAGATAAAGTTATTAGGTGGGCTTACAAAGCAAAACTGATTAAAAATGGAAGTTGTCTAGGTCCCACACACTATAGTCGAGGACACAAAGAAAACCCCAGAAATGGAAAGCTTCATTAGATCTCACCTCTTTATCCATATATTCAGCATTACTAAGGATTTTTAAGCATCTCACTGAAATGACTTGATTATATCATAACATGGAACTTAAGAGACCTTTGACATATCTAGACTAGTGGTACTTACACTTTTTGTTGTTGTTGTTGTTATTGTTTCTGCTTTTTTAACGTAGAGAACACTTTCTTTCTCAAATAAAATAAGACTAGCAACTAGCATTTACAAAGTGCTTACCACATGCTTGGCACTGAGTGAAGCATTCTATAAATTAGTGACTATGAGAGGGTACCAATATCATCCCCATTCACAGGTGAGGAAACTGGGGCACAGAAAGATTAAGTCACCTGCCCAAAGACACACAGCTAGGAAGTGGGAGAGCTGCATTTGTGTTTGTGAATTCAAATATTCTGGCTCCACAGCCTGTGCTTTTAGCCACTCCTGGAACTCCAAATAGAAAACTGATACCAGCAGCGTGCTCCGGCGGCAGCAGGGGTAGAGTGCCACCCCCACCCTCTTCCCCTCAACTCTCAAGGATTCCAGAAAACACACCTGGAGAACATATGATTCACCATTATCTCCTCATTTTAGGCATGAGTAAATAAGGACTAAAAGAGTGACATGACCTGTTTGCGAAGAGCTAGGATAAGAATCCAGGTCTCAGAAGTATTTTGTGGGTATTACTGTCATTTTACCCCAAAGGGTTATGGGGAAGCTCATGGAGTCAAGGACCATTTACCAATTTGGGTCAGAATCCTACTGTTATTACTAGTATAATTACATTGTTCAGATTTTTGTTTGAAATTCTAATGGTAATTCTTTCCTTTTGCATAAATTCTCCTGCCCACCCCTAATAGTATGGATATGGACAAGTACACTAGACCACAGACTTATTCACTGTTATTTTAGTAATTTGAGGTTAGTTAACTTTTCATATATTTAAACCTCATAATACTGTCTAAGACCTAAGCTCTTAGAGGACAGATGGGAATTTATCTCTGAATTCTCAGCCTCTTTCACAGCACCTTGCACACAGAAGAAACCACATAAGTAACTGTGGATTCAATGATTTGAATTTTACCTTTTCTCATTACTTGTCTATTCAAAGGACTGAATAGACTAGGAAACCAAACAGCCACAAAATAGTTAAGATAGTTGAGGAAAGAAGAGAGGAAGAACTGAGTAACTCATAAACTGCACAATTAGCAACAAATTAAAAATAGACAGTAAAACTAGAAACAAGGGAGAACAGACCTGTCCCCTTTTAACGGGCATTTCTTTTGGTGCCTCTTCTTTTGCTGAGTCTGCGTCCCCTGCAGCATTATCAGTGTACTCCCAGGCCACAGAGTCTTTCTGAATTTCTTTAAGGTTGAAATTCCCTAGTTTGTTTAATGAGAATCCTTCAATCTGGGAAAAATTAGACACATACTATTATAAGGCAGAAACGATTTTATATCAATCAGAGCATATTAATCCTGGAAGAAATGAAAAGTAACATACTTTAGTTCACTGAAAATATAAAAGGTATTTTTTATAAAAGGAGTATCTTTGAGACATCTGTAAATTTAAAGGAAAAATCAAGGTTTTGATTTGCAAAAGAATTGGTGATTTTTGGAAATAATTCTTTAGTAAATACTCTAAGAGAAGGCAACATGGCCTAGGCCTAAGGTCATGGTTCTGGAATAAAACCACCTGCGCCCAAATCTCACTCCCTCATGTACTAGCTGTGAGACCTTCAGTAAGGTCCTCATTTTCTTTAGGTTTCAGGCTCCTGTAAAAAGGGATAACACCAGAATCTCCTTCATGGGATAGTTATGGAATAAAATAATGGACACAAAGCATTCAGATACAGGGTATGGCACATAGTAAGTGTTTAAAAAATATAAAGTGTTTCTTTTGACATTGTTAAGATGCTAAAGAAAAGTCTAGGCTCAAAAGGTCTAAGAAATGTGGAACAAATGTGAACAGGTTTCTTTACTGCAGGTACAAAGGGATGTATCACAGCCTTTTAGACAGGTTAATGTACATAGTGAATTGTGGGGTGGGGTGTGTCTGTGGTAGCCCCAGTTCCCCAATGTATTTCCACATCAAATGGACTACTTCTTTGGTTTAACAGACAGAGCAATCCTAAAACAGAAGACATCATGTCACTCCCCTGCTCATGACAGTTTCCTTCTTACTCAGGATGAAATTCAGTCTTTTCTAGGGCCTAGGTAATCTGGTCCTTTGCTATTACTCTGACCCATTTTCTCGATCTGTCCTCCTGGCTTGGAGCTGACATCTGCTACTCCCTCTGCTTAGAAGGCTCTTCTCCCTAAATCAGCTAACCCATGCAGTGAGGAACACATTCAGGCTCTGCTCAAATATCTTTGACTCTAAATAACTCCTCCTCTTTCACTCTGTCCTTCCTACCCTGGTTTATTTTTCCTCAGAGAATGACCACCACTTGATATGTACTTATTTCCCTTTCTCACCTTATGTAAGGTGTTTCTCTGGCTGCTTTTGAGTTTTGCTCTTTAGTTTTGGTTTACAGCAGCCTGACTATGATGTGCTAAGCATGCTTCTCTTTGAATTTATCTTACTTGAGGTTTACTTGGCTTATTGAGACTGTAAGTTTGTCTTTTTGTCAAATTTGTGAAACTTTATGTTTTTCTATCCCCTTCTCTTGCTCCTCTCCTTCTGGGGCTCAAACTACCCATAGGTTAGATTTTTCTGAAATTGTTCCACAAGTCCCTGAGGTTTATTTATTTATTTTTAAACTTTTTTTCTTTTTCTTCTTTAGATTAGTTTCTACTTATCTATTTTCATATCTATTGACTCTTTCCTATGTCACCTCCACTCTGCTATGATGCCCATCCAGTAAATTTTTTTAATTTAAAATAACGTATCTTTCACTTCTAAAATTTCCATTTGCTTCTCTTTACACTTCCTAATTCTCTGGCTGATATTCTCTATCTCTTCAAATTATTGCAAGTGTACTTCCTTTGTCTCATGGAGCAGTTATAATAACTGCTTTTAAAGTCTCTGGTATCTTATCTTGGGCTTGGCATCTGTTGATTTCTTTTCCCTTGAGAGTGTGTCCCATTTTCTTGGCTCTTTGTATTGTTGAGTATTTTTGGATTGCATTCTGGATATTGTGATATTATAATGTATTGTGAAAATTCTGGATTCTTTATGTTACTCCAATACGTGTAGCTACTTTTGTTTTATAGGTAATTAACTGCTTAGACAAAATGCAGATTGTCACCTCTCTGGTAGACAGCAGCTCCGACCTCAGCTCAGTTTAGTAAGCCTTGGCTCTTAACTGTTTTCAGTCTGCTTCAAATGTATGGTTTATAAGTCTGTAATTTATTTTAAAAATTCTCAGTCATTATTACTTCAACTTTTCTTCTGTTTCTCTTTCTTCTTTTCCAGGTATTCCCATTATACATACATTACAACCCTTAGTAATTGTCCTACAGTTCTTAGCTATTCTGTTCCATTTCTTTTTCATTCTTTTGTTCCTTTTTGCTTTGCAGTTTGAGAAGTTTCCATTGAATAAAGCTCACTGATTTTTTCCGCAGCTTTGTCCAGTTTCCTGATGAATCCGTCAAAGGCATTCTTCATTTTTGTTAGTTTTGATTTTTAGTATTTCCGTTTGATTCTTTCCTCGAGTTTTCATCTCTCAGCTTATATTACCTATTTGTTTTTGCATGTTGACCATTTTTTCCTTTAGAGCCCTTAGCATATTCTTGTTTTTTAAACTCCTGGTCTGATAATTCCAGTGTTTGCTCTGTTTCTTCACACTATGTTATTTGCCTTTTAGTATACCTTGTTATTTTTTTGTGGAAAGCTGGGTAAAGTATAGGCCTGGGGTGTGAGGTTTTCTTTTACCTGGCTAGGAGTCAGGCTATGTACTGTTTGTTGTAGCTGTACATGTCAAGGGGCTATAACTTATGCTGGTATCCTTGTTTTTGTCTCCTGTATTGCTTTTGGGTTTCCCAAGAGATTTCTTCTTATATGAGGTCTGTCTGTTGTAATCCCATTGTTACACCGGAGGCCTAATGATGCTGTAGTAAGGTGTGAGGGGAGGGGAAGCATTCTATAGTCCTATGTTCAGATCTCAGTCTTTTAGTGAGACTGTGACCTTCACAAAGTGCTTCTCAGTCCTGCGCACCTGAGGTGAGACAGGAAACTACAGAGGGTTGGAGTTGGTATTTTTCCTTTACCCAGGTCAGTTAGGCCCTGATAAAACTCAAGGTGGTCAGGCTCTGGTAAAACAGTTTCCCTTGAGGGCAGGTTTCTGTTTCTAACAGCAGAATGCTCCAGGCAATTTCAAAATGGCTAGCTTTTCCCTCAAAGGGGATTTTTCTTAGATCTTTACCCTGACAACGTGGTGGGCATTTTTGCAGATAAAACTCATGAAATCAGCCCCCTAAGACTGGCCCCCTTATTGTTTTTCACTTTCAAGCTTATCCAAACTGAGCCTCCAGAATCAGAGTCCATGTTTTCCTACCCTGGTGGCCGTTCCATGGGCAGGATTCTGGGCTTATGCTCTGACAACTTATATATTTGCCTGTCTCTCCAATTTTGGGGGCAGTGGTTTTCCTCATGACCTCAATTCTCTAATGGATCTAAAAAGAGTTGTTGATTTTCAGCATGTTCAGTCTTTTTCTTTTTGTGAGGATAGAGTATTGACTTCCAATCTCCTTATATGGCACGCTGGACTGGTTCAGAAGTCAGTCAGTGATGTACTGAGTTCCCACACAGAATTAAGGGTTCCACTTCTCTATATCTTCCCTTTCTGGTTTTTCTTCCCCTTATTATCTGGTGGCCTTAGTTCCTCTGGCCAGAAAGAGTACTGGTTTTTCTACCAGGGTTGCCTTCAGGGGTAAAGCCACTGAAAAACAGAAACTCACTCTGTGTTGGTCACTTGTTACAGGTTTTGACTTCTCTCCAAAGTCTGTTTGCATTTGTTCAGTCTCCAGAGCCTTCACGTTGTTGTTTTATGTATTTTGTTGAGAATTTATAGCTGTTTATTTCCAGAAGGATCACTTGTTTTAGGAGTTCACACCTACATACCGTAAGTGGAACTTGCCTTTCTATTGAAGGGGGAAAGGACTACATCTGTTCTCCGACCTGTAGAGTTCCAGGAACTCTACATTCCTGATCTCATTTCAAAAATTTGCAGATGAGTCTTTCACCAAGGCTCAGAGATTAAATAACTTGTTCAAGGTCATAAGGATTTAAGTGGCAAATCCTGGGTGAATCTCAGGGCTGCCAAACTTTAACACTACTCTTCTTTCTACTATATTATCTGGCATTCTTAAAGTGTAAATAACTATTTCCTAAGGGTTACGTTTACATAATCTAAAATAAGGAAGATTCCAAATAATATCTACTAGGAGACTAGTAAAATATTGTTGTAGGGGATAAAAGATGCCAAGAACACAGGGTTAAGCCTATTCATCATTCACAACTCACATATCAATATCTAATGATAATAAATGGGAATTTTAATTGGGAGTAAAAGGTCAGAGAGATAATCTCCAACATGGAAGAAATCTGAGTAGGTTGGGAGAGAATGGCTGAAAGATTTTCGAAAACACAGATCTGAGCACAGAGATACAATACTCTAAACTTCTTGACAGAGAATTTAGTCTTACTCATCTGTGTATTACCTTCAGGGCCTAGTACAACGACTAACATACAGAGTGCTTTAAAAATTTTGAAGGAGTTAACAGTTTAGATACTTTCATGCACGTAATTTTGAGGTTCTCAATAGATTTTCTGCAGAAAGAGTGATATAAAATATCTGGCATGAACAAGGCACTGAATTTCTTTTCTCTCACTTGCTTCACATTTTTGACTAAAAGACCCTAGCAGAAGCCAGCACACTGATACTCGACTAGTTTAAAATGCTGAAAGCTACAGATCACTTTGGTTCAGGCAGCAGAGTTTGCCATATTTGACACACAGAATTCAATCTAGTATTTGGCCACCACATACTTGTTTTTGTTATTAATCTTGAATAGGCGGGAGGGTAAGTTGGCGGAAGAGTAAGACGCAGAGATCACCTTCCTCCCCACAGATACACCAGAAATACATCTACACGTGGAACAACTCCTACAGAACACCTACTGAACGCTGGCAGAAGACCTCAGACCTCCCAAAAGGCAAGAAACCCCCAACATACCTGGGTAGGGCAAAAGAAAAAAGAATAAACAGAGACAAAAGGACAGGGACGGGACCTGCACCAGTGGGAGGGAGCTGCGAAGGAGGAAAAGTTTCCACACACTAGGAAGCCCCTTCGTGGGCGGAGACTGCGGGTGGCGGAGGGGGACGCTTCGGAGCCGCTGAGGAGAGCACAGCCACAGGGGTGCGGAGGGCAAAGCGGAGAGATTCCCGCACAGAGGATCAGGGCCGAC